GAATCAACTTAATGATCTCAGAAGCCTTTTCTGTATGTCTAAGAGTCTCAGTTCTTAGAACTTCAAATAGTCTTCCTTAAATTATAGCATTATTCAAATGTGTTTTAATAATTATTACCTTGTATTTTTACTTAACTTTTCACATGGCTGTATATTGTCTCTCCAGTGTAATTAAGGCCTAGTACCATTTCATTTATATCTGGCCTCCCCCACAGACTGACAGTCAGTCAACAAGCATTTATCAAGTCTTTACAATGTACCAGGTACTTCTCTTTGCATATAAGTATCGTGAGTTAAGTTTGGAGTATAAGGAAACAACTGAAAAATCCAATGTTGTTTTTTTTTTTCCTGATAGTGATGGCTGACATTACTCAAAAATTAAGAATAAATATCTGAATTTGGTCAATTTTTTTTAATTTAAAAAAAACAGATAATATCAAGGACTAGATATACTTAGCTCCTATAAGAAATCATGATCTTTTTTCAGAAAAAAAAAATTTCATTTAGTTTCATGTGCACTCCTGTTCTAACTCTAAAGGTTCTAAATTCTCTACAAAGGTACAACTACCAGCACCTGATGTCAGCCTGCTCCTTACCTCTAAAAATAAAATTAAAACATTAACATACTACTTCATACTTTCACAGAAATAGCATTTCCTGGGTATCTGGATCATACTAAAAGGAAATGTTAAAAGTAGCCCTACTCTGTACCCCAAAGAGATCGTAAGAATGGGATAAGGACCCATAGGTACAAAAATATTTATAGCAGCTCTTTCTGTGGTAGCAAAGAATTGGAAATTGAGGGAATGCCCATCAATTGGGGAATGGTTGAATAAGTTGTGGTATATGAATGTAATGGAATACTATTATGCTATAAGAAATGACAAGCAGGCAGACTTCAGAAAAACCTGGAAAGACTTGTATGGACTGATGCTGAGTGAAGTGAGAAGAACCAGGAAAATGTTGTACACAGTAAAAGCGACATTGTGCAATGACTAACTTTGATAGACTTAGCCCTTCTCAGCAATGCAAGGATCTAAGACATCTCCAAAAGTCTCATGATAAAAAATGCTATCCGCATCCAGAGAAAAAACTATGGAGTTTGAATGCAGATCGAAGCATACTATTTGCTCTTTTTTTTTCTTCTGTTTTGTTTTGTTTCTTCTTTCTTGCAGTTCCTCTTATTGGTTCTAATTCTTCTTTACAACATAACTAATGTGAAAATATGTTTAATAGGAATGTATATGTAGAGCCTATACCAGACTGAACACTGTCTTGGGGAGGGAGGTGGGGAGGGAGGGGGAGAAAATTCAAAACTCAAAAGCTTATGGAAGTGAATGTTGAAAACTAAAAATAAATTAATTTTTTTAAAAAGTAGCCTTACTGCAACAAGTGCTATAGATGACCAAAGTGAATTTTAGTTAATTTTAAAATAAAAGGTGAGTAGAATAAAAAACTGTAGGTGGACGTGGAGAGGCAACATGGCAGAAACAACATTTGACACTAATGACCACCCCCTCCCTCATGGATACTCTCTCCTCTCTTGGCTTTTATCACTCTACTGTTAATTCCCTTTTAAGAATAAAAGGTGTAGAAAACAAGCTTTGGGCATAGACAAAAAGAGAACTAGCTCTGGAAAGAAAGGACATGGGTTCAAATTCTACTTCTAATGCTTACTACTTACTACCGGTGACACTGGGCAAGTCAATTAACCTCCCTAGGTCTCAGTTCCTTCCTATGTAAAATGAGGGAGGTTGGACTAGATTTTTTTCCAGCTATGATCCCATGATCCAACTATATATAACCACCTGCATTCTTATTAAAATACCAACTTTAGAATTCTACAAGGTGATAATGAGAGGAAAAAAATGTTCTCATTCGTTTCTGAACTCACAAAGAACACTTCATTTCTGAACTCACAAAGAACACTTTAACATCAGGTATTCCCACTTTGTTTATGTAGCTAGACAAAATGTATCCCATGAGAGTTTGGTGATAGTGAAGTCTTTCAACAGAAAAGTGAAAAAAAATTATAGCACAAAATTTTTGATGTTTCTGTAAGATCCATTTATTCCTGCACTAAATTTAGCTTTTAAATATCAACGAATGTTGGGGTAGAGGGGGGGAGGGATGAAGATGTCTCAGGAAAACAAAAGAAAAAAGTCCATCCAGTAATTCACTCTGTGAGGAGTTATTTTTCATAAATATGTAATCTGTCAGTAGAAATAACAGAAGCAACTAGTTATTTTTTCTAACCCAAGCCACATGGCTCAATGTAAGGCAGGAGCCTTAACAGAGCATTGCTAGACATAGCCAACATAATGTTAGGGTTACATTTGACTATTGCCAGGGTGACGATAACCAGTATCAGTTGCCATATGTCTTGACAGAAGAGATTCATTAAGCTGTATATATTACATGATTGGTTCCCTCACTGTTCCTAAAGAGGTTCCCTCCAATAAACTACACCTGAGACTCTTCTGCCCCTTAAAGTCACTTGTGAGGGCCTCTTTCCTGAATGAATATAAATTTAGCAGTCTTATCAAATTTGTCAAAAAAAAAAAAAGAGCTGGCAAACTCCCTTCACCAAGCTCAAGCTAAATGTAGGGTTCCTACATCTACATTATCAATCCAATACCCTAAACTTGTACCTCCCTACCCCACTCTCACCCTTAAAGAGTTTACTAATGAATTATAAATATGGATTGGTATAGCCAATACAACATATGACTATAAAGTAATGGCTACTTTAATGTCTACTTTATGGAATTTGTTCTATTACTTTCATAGTTACCCCTAACGCAGATATGTCTGTCTGTCAGGTTAAGGTCAGGGATCAGATCTACATCCCACTTGAGGCCTTGGGCAAGTTACTTCCCCTTTCTGGGCCTTACAAAATCAAAGGGCTAGACTAAACAGTCTCTAAGGTCAGTACCAACTCTAAATCTGTGATCTTATGACGAAGCAGTGCAATTAGGTACTTAATAAAACTTTTTGATGAGTATGATGTTCAATTAACCATGATGAAAGATGCCTTATAGCACAATGGAATAGTCTGGCCTGCATTCCTGGAACCATACTGATTGCTTAAGGCTATCTCTCTAATGAAAGGATCTTAAGTGACATCCCCTCAAGTCTGACCAGTCGACAGACAGAAGTCATAGACCCAACTTCCCAAGGCATCTTTGAATGGAAAGATAATCATTGATTCTATAATTACTCCAAAAGGTCAGAGAAAACAAACCTATGGTGTAGACTATTTTCACAGCTAGTGATCCAAATATTTACTTATCTTTTACCTAAACTTCCTAAACTATTCTCAGTAAGTATTCAGAACTACAGGACTTTTACTTTTCTTCTCAGTGTTCTGTAAAGAGCTTATTAAGTAGCTTTGCCATTCCCAATTTAGAATTTTAGTTTTAAAAGGTCAAAGTTAAAAGAAATCACATCACTTTTGGCTAGCTGAAGCATCGAACTTAGAGCAGCAATTGCAATTCACAACAAAACTAGTCATTATAAAAGACTTTTCTACCATACTAAAAACAAGATGTGATGCTTTTTCAGAAAACAGCAGGGTGCACAAAGATTATACTCAAGAAATTAGATGGATTCGCTTTACAAAATATTGCTATTCAATCACTCACAGCAACCATAAGAGGTATGAAGCTTTTAAATGGTATCAAAGATATACATTAACTCCAAAGAATGTCCCTAAATTCCTGAGGATCTTTTCATTTATACTTCAATTTATTTTTTGGATTATGCAAGATCTTCTCTACTCATTTTATAAATAAACGTCACCAAAATATCAAAAGTACTAATAAATGGCTAAATTACAATTTTTTCTATGTAATTTCACGCCTATTTGTTGTTGTTGTTTTTAAGGGAATACTATAGATTTCACCTATAGTGAAATCAGATTTAAATGAATGGAAAAAGAATCTGGGAAATGGGTAGTCCAACTCATTTTCTTTGGTTATCGTGATGAAAGTTATGGGCATATGCAATGCATATGAACATGCAGATAGAGTAAAATTAGCTGGCTAACCATCTCCTTCCCCACTGGAAGCCTCCCAAAGTCACTGCCAACACAAGTAGTTTCTTCTTTCCCTATCCCAAATAGTAGCCTGGCACTACCACATTACCTAATTCACTGTATAGTCCTCTCTCCAATTTCCTGCCATGTAAAATATGGAAAGTTTGGAGTTATGACAAGTTATTCAGAATGTTAAAACTGATTGGGTCTTGAAAACAAAGAGGATGCATGGGAATGGTGGACATAGAGAAGCCAGGAATACAGGGGTTCAAGACCCACCTCTGATATACACTGGCTAGATCAAGTCTCTAAACCTCTTAGTGCTCTATGCAAGTTGCAGAAGTGCAGAACTGCATTGGTAGAGAGTTTTCCTGACCTGGGAGCTCCTTATAGCAATAATATCACAGGTCCAATTCCAATCTATCTCAAAAACTACAGTTTATTTCACTAACTGCCACCTCTGGCAGTAGTTCTTACCATTTTCCATAATTTAAATTTACTTGTGGTACCATGTGATTACCACCCAATATTTACTTTTTTTATTTTAATAAGTGGTAAAAGTAAAAAAGTAGACTAGTCACTAATTATAAGCATTAGTTTATGGTTTGTAATTGACTCTTCTCAAAGCCAGAATGGCACTTGAATATGTTCCTTGAGCTGTATACAAAATGGTAACCATAAATAAAGTAAGCTTCTCTCTACGTTAATTCTAACTTAATTTTATCAGTCACCTGAAGAAAACATTGGTTTTCAGGCTGGTCTTTCTTTTAAAAAAAAAAAAAAAACTACAGCCTGAAGCACTACTTGCTTACTATGTATGAGTGGAATATATGCAACATGTGGCTGGTAGGTACAACAGCACTAAATCCAGGATACTCCTCGGGGCTTCACAAGGACTAAACTGAGTTCCTCCTGGACGGAAAAATTACAACAGTTAAAGGGGGTGCAGTGGAGATTTATTTACCCGGTCCTTCATCCTCCAACTCTGGGCCAAGGATTTGGAGCCTTCAATCTTCTCGCAGTGCCTCTTCTTCATGAAAGTCAAAGGCAGGTTCCAGTCGGTCAGGTCGGACTCGTCCTCCTCCCCAAGCCCGAGAAGAGGCGACTGCAGCATCTCGGACTCCATGAGGGTGGGAGGAGGTGGGGGAGTCCTGGGCAGCAAACGCTCGAGAACCTCCAGCCTTAAAGAGTTGTGGGCACTGGAAAGGATGAAATGAGGGAACGAGGGCTAGATGACGGGGAAGGAGAGGACCGGAGAGGCCGTCCCGGTGTGGAGTGGGGGGCGATCGAAGTTCCCGAGCCTTATCTCCGCGTGGGAATACCAAGAAGCCCAGGGCAGGGGCCAGGGGTAAGGTGCGCAGCCCCACACCCCCGGACTTCAGGCCACACCGCCTTCTCCGCGGGCTGTCGGATCGGGCCCCGGGCTGGCTGGGAATGGAGCTGTTAAAAGCGTGGGAGCCCTCGGGCCTCCGATGACCCTGCTCCAGGCCACCGCGGCCGGACCGGCCTCTAGCCGATCCCGAGGAGGCGGGCGGGAAGGTCGCAAGCTACCGCAGCCTGCGGGCCGCCAGCCAGGGGGGTGGAGGATCCGAGCGGAGGCTAGGCGAGGGGACACGGGGGACGGGGATCCTCCTCGGGGTGCCTCTCAGCCCTGCGGACCCCGCACTCTCCGGAGCTGCTGCAGCGGAAGCCAAGATCGGCCCATAGTGTCCGCCTGCGGGAGGCTTTCGTCAAGTCTACCCCGGGCTCCTGAGTGAGGCCTGGCTCGTCCCTGCCCAAGGGCCCCCGCCACTTCCTTAGGCCTGAGGGCAGAGAGGTGAGAAATGCCAGGTGCGGGACCCTCCTGGGCGACTGGGAAAGAGATCGTTAGAGTTGAGGAATTTCCCCTCCTTGTCCAAAGACACAGAGAGAAACTCCGCTCATCAGCACACCAAGGGGGACGCCATATTGCTAAGGCCCACAATGCATAGCAATCTACGGAGCCCCCAGAAGGCCAAATTTTCTCAGGAAGTTCCTGGAGCTGTCCGCCTAAGCAGTAGGAATATACTACTGCTATTCATCACCTCATTGATAAAAGGAAAAGTAGAATGGCATTAAGGGATACTTTTTTTTTCTCTTCTTTTATTTTTTTATTTTTGGGGAAAGGGGGAAATAGATAGATAGATAGGTAGGTAGGTAGGTAGGTAGAGAGATAGATAGATAGATAGATAGATAGATAGATAGATAGATAGATAGATACAGATTTTTATTATTTACCATGTATTAAGATGGAAAAGTTGGTAATGCCCATCTTTCTCCAAATTTCACACAAAGCACTCTTAAAAGCCACCACTCTTTCCTGATCTTAGGTGATACCAGGAGTCCCTTCTTTAAAGGATTCTACTGTTTGTGAAAGTTTCATTTTGGGGGCTAGTGTGGTGAAAGAAAATCAAGACAAATTTCTATAATGGCTCACTAGTGATGTCTGTAAACCTTAAAAAAATTTAATTCATCTTCCTGATCTATACATATATGTGTGTGTGTGTGTGTGTGTGATGGAGGATGGCAGCATACAAGGGAGATTGCTTCCATCAATACAGAGGGTAATTTGGATAGTTGTAACCTGTGTAATCTTAATGCCTAGAGTAGAGTGTGATCAATTTTATCTGTTTATTATAGAAAGATCAGTAAAAACAAAATAGAAAGATCAGTAAAAACAAAACAAAAAACCTGAAGTGTGCCCTGCACTACAAATTTTGATACAGCATCAGTCATTGAAGAACTATGGCCCTGTGGTAAGATGGGGGGGGGGGTTTGGCCGTTTTAGAAAGTTTCTAACTTCAAGATAACAAATGTTTGTTATTTAGCCAGTTGTGAATCTTGTAAGTCAAGGAAATTAAAAGGGAATTGAAGGGGAGCTGCCTTTGAAGAGCCAATTAGCTGTTGAGGGAAGATTTTTTCTAATTATTTGTTGACTTATTTTTGGAAGAGATTTTCTTCTTTATCTCTCTGTTTCTATCTCTCTCTTTCTCTTATATACATATATGTGTACATATATGTACATGTCTATGTATATGTATATGCATATATACAGAGAAGGGGGAATAATATGACTAGAAAAGTTCTTAGCAATCCAATCCCAACCTCCCAAACCCTCCAGAGGTAATTACTATAAAGACCCAGAGTGGTTCATTTGCATATAAAAGGTCCAGTAACCTAGAGTGAGGTCAGACCAAGAAAATAATCCTTCACTAAGCCCTTTTCTCCACCCACTCTTCCACGTGGACTTGAAGGCTCTGGAGAGAAAGTTTTTTCTCCTTTTACTTTTCAAAACTCTAACTTCATCCCCCATTCTCTCCCATATCTCTCCTTGTTCAATCAAATCAAGGAGCATTTTATTAAGTACTTATTATGTATTATATGGGGGAGGGGCCCACAAATGGGATACAAGAAAAGATAAAAAAAGTCCTTCCCTTTAAGGATAGAGTGCTGGGCCTTAAGTCAGGAAGACTCATGTTCCTGAATTCAAATCTAACTTCAGACACTTACTAACTATGTGACCCTGGGCAAGTCACTTAACCCTGTGTGCCTCTGTTCCTCATCTGCCAAATGAGCTGGAGAAGGAAATGGCAAACCACTCCAGTATCTTTTCCAAGAAAACCCCAAAGGGGGTCACAAACAGTTGGATATAACTAAAGACAGACTGAAAAACAACATGTGGGGGGAGGAAGTGGCATGATCAGATTTGTCCTGTAGGAAAATCACTTTGGAAACTGAGAGGAGGATGGATTGGAGTAGGAGAGATCTGAAGCAGACCAGAAAGCTGTTGCAACACTGCATGAATGAGATAAGGTCCTCACCAGAGTAGCTGATGAATAAATATAAGACATGGTGTGAAAGTAGAAATGACAGCTAGGTGTCACAGTGGATAGAGTGCCAGGCCTGGAGTCAGGAAACCCGTTCAAATCCTGCCTCAGATACTTAGTTGCTGTGTGACTTAACTCTATTAAGTCACTAACCAAGTGACTTAACTCTGCCTCAATTTCTTCATCTGTCAAATGGGTTGAAGAAGGAAATGGAAAACCAAGAAACCCCCAAATGGGGTTACAAAGACTCAGACATGACTGAAATGACTGAACAACAGAAATGACAACATTTGGCAACAGATTGAATAAGTGGAGTGAGTGCAAGTCAGTCAGTTCAGAGCCTGTTGACTTGGGAAGATGGCAATGCCCTCAAAATTAATATGGAAGTTGGAAAGAAAGAAGAGTTTAAGTGTATAATGAGTTCTGTTTCGGACATGTTGAGAGGTCTTATAGGTTATTGAAAGGTTACTGGAGAAAGAGGTTAGAGTTGAATAAATGGATCTTGGAAGATAATTAAATCCATCAGAGATGATATTACCAAGAAAAGGAGTATAGAAGGAGAAAAGGGACAAACCCTTGGGGGACACCCAGGTTTAGTGGGTGTGACCTCAATGAAGATACAACAAAGGGGATTGAGAAGAAGTAGCCAGAAGGGTAGCCAGAAGGAGAACCAAGAAAATGAGTGTTATGAAAATCTGGAGAGGAGAGAGAACCCAGGAAACTAGCACTCTTATAGCACTTTAAGGTTAGCCAAGAGTTTTACATCATACAGTTAGGGCAGCTAGGTGGTATAGTGGATAGAGTGCTGGACTTGGACTTAAGAAAAGTCATTTGACCTCAGACACTAGATGTGTGACTTTGGGCAAGTCATCTAATGCTGTTTGCCTCCATTTCTTCATCTGTAAAATGAGCTAGAGAAGGAAATGGCAAATCGCTCCAGTTTTTTTGCCAAGAAAACCCCAAATGGGGTCACAAAGAGTAGGACACGACTGAACAATTCTAATGTCTGAGGCAGGAATAAAGCTCGGGTCTTCTTGATTCCAAGTTCAGAGCTCTATTCACTGTGCTACCCAGCTGTGACCAAAAAGGGTGATTGACAATATCAAAGGCTGCAGAGAGGTCAAGAAGTATGAGGATTGAGGAAAAGCCATTAGATTTGGGAAGTAAGAGATTATGAATAACTTTGGAGAGGACAGTTTCAGTTGAATGATGAATTTGAGAGCCAGACTTCAAAGTGTTTAGAAGAGAGTGAGAGAAGAGGAAATGGAGGTATTGTTCTATTGTAGAGAAGAGAAAAAGGACATTGAGACACTGAAGTTCCAGAGCTGTGAGTTGCCTTGGCCATATGTCACCTACAGATGTGCCTCATGACCACCCTTACCACAAATAATGTGTGCAGTAGTGGGAAAGTGCATCCAAAGTTCATGGGAAAATGCTTTATAACTTCTGTCCTTACTATGCCATCTAAGTAAATGTCTTTCTTAAGAGCTAATTGTGTCTAATAATAATAACAACAGCTAACATTCATATAGTATTTACCATTGCATTCCAGGCACTGTGCTAAGTGCTTCACAATTATTATCTCATTTGATTCTTACAACAACCCTGGGAGGTAGGTGCTGTTATTATCAGGAAACTGAGTCAAACAGAGGTCAAGTGGCTTGCCCAGGATCACACAGCCAGTAACTATCTGAGGCTGTATTTGAAGTCTGGTCTTCTTGACTCTAGGCCCACTGTACCACCTCACTGCCCCTAACTGAAGAAAGCCAATGGGGGTTCATGAACTGTAGTTCTATATATTGGGAATACTAATACTATAGCTATAGTATTAGTAATGGGTTCCTACAGGGTATCCCCTAAAACCTGAGGCAGTAGCTAGTCTCTGGGGACCTAACAGCTTTTCTACACCCAATTTATTTAGGGTTCTAGTCTATTATAGTGGTCTAACTTTATGGACTACTTTCTAGGCATGCATTGAATTGATGATACTATCCACATTAGTAGAGGGAGTGCCACATATTGGTAAAGATTCCAGATTTTCCTGTATTTTTATATTCTTATTAATGTGATGCATTGTCCTAATAGCTTTTCTTGTTTTGTGCCAATCTTGCATTCCAGGGATAAACCGTATTTGGTCATGTTGAAGATTTTTGGATGTGTTATACTTTTTGCTAACACTTAATTTAGTATTTTTGCAACTAAATTGAATAGAGAAATTGGCATGTGGTTTTCATTTCTGGTATCACCTTTGTCAGATTTCCAAATCAAAAAATTATTTGTCATAAGAAGAATTGGGTCACACACCATTGTGGTCTGTATTCTAGAACAGCTTATGTAATGTAGTTCAAAGGGACCTTAGAGATCATCTAGTCACAAATAGGGAAGCTAAGACCAAGAAAGGATAAGTAATTTACCAAATATTATTTGTTCTTTAAATGTTCAACAACATTCCTCAATGAACCAATGTTTTTTCAGGTAATTATTTGACAATTTCCCTTATTTCTTAGTCTGTTATATTTATAATTTTTCTACTTATCATAGTGGTTCAAACATTTTGAATTTTTG